TTTTATATTGTAATACTTTATAGGATTTTGCTATTTATAAAAGTTTTCCTTATCAAACTAACAATAAAAGATTAAATTCTGAGCCTCCACCAGTCAAAATTGCACAAAAGGGTATGATCGTCAATTGTGAAATAAACCTATCTGACTCAAAATTGCACAAAAGGGTTTGATCGTCAATTGCGAAATAAACCTATCTGACCAGAGGACTTTTCCAAAGCAGTGCCGCTCATTGGATGAGACAGCAAAATACTCTGCTTGCTTAGCCTTGATTGTTTATCCCTCTGTAAAGGGACAGAATTTAGTTTACAGACACTTGAGCTCAGTTGCTAAGGACTAAGACAAACCCATACACTTCCTCAGAACATAAAGAGATCTGCTCTTTCAACACCCTAATCCCAGCCATTTGCTAAATCTCAGAGATCAGAAAGCTGGGGAGGACAAATCTCAGACATAAAAAAGTTTACGTCTCTTAAATGCCTCATTTCTTTCACCCAAGATTTCCATGCCACTCAGGTATCACCCACACAGTAAGAAAGGTAGAACTATGTTTATTTTGCAACTGGCAAAGCGATCAAACAGTGCTGACAAGTCCAGAACTGGACAATAATCACTATGGAATCCTTTCTTTAGAAAGAATTCTTCTATTGAAGAGCCTTAATATGAACTCTAGAATTTAGTTTATGAAACCATGGCTTTGAAAGAGAGTCCTTGAGGCTGAGAGGTTGTTTTGGCCCATATTCCCTGGGTTGAGCACACAGTGATTCCGACAGTGACACTGCCTACAGAGCAATTTTACATAGGTAAACTCAAGAAATGTACCCTGAGCAAAACCAACACCTCGAAGAGGGGATGAAACCGTGAGAGCAATCAGTGAGAAAGGAGGAAAAACTCAGGGGAGTTTGGTGTTGTGGAAGCAGAGAAAGGAGTGTTTGCAAAAAACGAAGTCGAGTTTCAAATAAACTGAAAGTGAAGAACAGCTTCCACTGGATTTAAGGAGATGAGTTTCAGTGTGTGGAAGAGCAGAGACAGCTGAATGTAACAAGTGAGTGGTAACAGGAGGAAATGTTGGATCCGGGCAGAACCTTTAAACATGAAAAACGATAATAAAACTGCGCTGTCCGATGTGGCAGCCACCAGCCACAGGGGACTGGGAAGCACCTGAAATCGGGCCACTCTCCTGCACCGGCCCCTTGCCTTCCTCTCACTCTACCCAGTGCCACCCCACAGCCCCACACTGAATCCTAACAGCACTGACTGATGTTGGCTCCCTTTGCACTTCGTGTACGAGATCAACAATATGCTCTCTTCCCTGTCTCACTTTTCTGACGTAACACTGTTTGTGAGATGCATCCATGTTGTATGTGGCTACATCCTTCTTGCTGCTTCAGAGTTTGTCATGCAACTGTATCACATTTCATTGCCTTTTAAAGATGAATGGGCGCTTTTACTTTTCATTATTACGAACATTGTTAATATGAATATTCTAGTATAATCTTTCGGCAAATATGCACCCAATTTCTGATCATATATAATGAGTGGTCAAAATATATATTTTAAAACTCACCCTATGTTTTCATCATACTGCATCTGTTTTGCCTACTTTGTGAGAAGAAATTATTGGACTTTTAGGAATGTTTTTCAGTTTCATCATTAAGAAGGTAACATCC